GCCCGACGCACCCAGCCGACCTGGCTGCGACCTCGGCCCCCGGCGGCCCGCCGCCGCGCACCGGCGCCGCGGCGGCGGCGTGCTGCGCCGCGCCCGCCGCCTCCGGTCCCTCTGGCCCTCGAGGTCCCGCTCCAGCCGCTCCTCGGCGAGGGGCCCTGGGGCCCGGACATGCTCGCGTTCTCGAACCCCAAAAACAAAACCTAGAAAAACGGATGATGATGACGACGACGACGACGACGCCGACGCCAAAGCCGACGCCGACGCCGACGCCGACGCCGACGCCGACGCGGCGGCGGCGGCGGCGGCGGCGACGACGACAGAGATGTGTCACTCGTTTCGGCCTCTCGAGGCCCTCGCAGGGCCCCCTGGACCGTCAAAACCAACTCGGAACGCAAAGCCGGTCCCGGCGGAAGGGTCCAGACTTCTGGAGACCGCGTATTGCAAACATCAGGGCGGCGCATGTACGAGGGAAGAGGATGAGGGTTCGGCTCGAGGATGAGAACACGGAGGAAAAGGAGTAGGCGGCGGAGGACGAGGGGGAAGAGGAGGAGGAGGGGAGGAAGAGGAGGTTCCTACCCCGAAAAGTCTGACCGAGACCGCTGGCGCCGCGGCGCGCAAGCAGAAGAAGGAACGGGCCCTGCATGATCCCGCAGGTAGTTGCGTTGCAGCTGAAAATGGCTTTCGGCTGTGCGCAGAAGTGGGCCAACGCCTGACATCTGGGCGATGCATATATTGCGCAACAGGCGTTCTCGCCCAGATCGGGCCGACGGGTCCTCAGTTCAATGCGGCTCGAGAAACGACGCAAACAGATAGGGTTTCGGTCACAAACAGTGAATTGTCACGCGCATCGCGTCGACGGGTCTGAGGGGAAGAGCGGCAGGCGCTTGGAGGTGGGACTGGGCCCCGACCCTGGGAGTGTCCCTCATCGCCAGTCGCGCACTCTGCACGGCCACGGGGCAGCGCCGGTGGCGAATTAGGCACCGTTCAGCAGGGAATCGCGCGAGAGCGGCCTGATGTTTTCGCACACTGGGGGGCGAACACCTCAGCGGATCTTAGCCTTGTTATCCGACGCTGCAAAGAAGTGTAACACTGCCCCCCAAAGAAAAATCACGACGGGAATCGTGCACCCCAACGTTCTGCGTCAGTTTTCGAGCTGGATCGTTATGGGAGGGCCCCAAAGCACGAAACCGAACGAAAACACCCGAGCGAGCGAGCCACGCGAGCATGCCTGTCAGCTGCTCGGCCCTGCGCAGGACATGGGTGAGCCATCCGTCTACCGGACAGACAACAAATATGTGAAACATGCAGGGAGCTTGGAATTCGGACTTCAATAGTGGGGGGAGGGGCAGAAGAGGGGGAGAAGGGAGTGAGGAGGAAGGGGCATCACACCTTCATCGTGCAGAACTCGTTGCATTGTTCCTCCCTGCCCGGCGCATGCAGCGCTTGTACCAGAGAATATGCGCAGACGCGCGTTCAGAACTCTTCGAGGTCACACATCCATTGCAGCAGTGGTCTGCTTCGCGCTCGCTTGCGAGCAGACTGCAAATGTCGAAGAATTGGCCCAATTTCTCAACTCCTCCGCAGAAGAGCTAACGAAGCAGCCGCCACCTCAAAGAGAAAACCAGTTCCGACACATATGAGGAGGCTGCCGTGGACAGCAAGTTCGACGCACCTGTCTGCATTTTCCGCAGAGTGTCCTTCCAGCGGTCGCCTCCGTCCAACCACATTTCGGAGCATTTTTGTCCGCGCTCCCCAGGGAATGGCGCGGTGCTGCGGCTTCAACGCCAGGCTGGCCACCCCGTGCAGCAGGACTGGCAAGACCGTGGGGCTGAACTGCTTGATGTGGTGACCAGCGCCGATATGCTGGCTCATAAGAATGTGGCGTTTCTTTTGGAATTGCTGTCATGCTGCTGGTAGCCGCTTCTCGACGGCAAGTGTTGCCCTGCTTTGTTTGACCTATTGAAGGCTCTCCCCAAATACGCGCGAGACTCGTCCAAGGACAGCACGTGACAAGAGCGGCCCAGAATCCATTCAATGTTGCAGGTGCTGGGAGGCGCATCGACGTCCCCAGGGGATACGATCTTGGTACTCGCGGCATTCAGTCTCAGCTCTACGGCGTGGAGCTCCTCGGTTGGGAGCGAGAGCATGATTTATGCGTCGTCCAGCGAGCGGGCATAAAGCAGAACACCGTCTGCTAAACGAATGTTCGCGAGGCGGTCTGCCTGTCCTGAAAATTCCCACCTCTCGCTGTGGGGCGGCCCTTTCCACTTGCTGAACACCAGCTCCATTGCTGCGTTGAATAAACACGGCCTCGAGACGTCGCCCTGGCGGACGCCCCGGAAGAGCTGAAAGACGTCGCAAGTGCAAACTTGGCCCCTCCGTCCCCAGCACAGCTCTTGCAACAAGGTGGCGCGCGCCTCATCTACACCTTGCTGCTATATGGTTTGATCCGTGGAAGACTCGATGGAACGCCTTGCTGAGATCCAGGCTCACGATCCCGATCCGAAGGCCCTGTTTGAAAGCGTGGGCAAATGGCGCCACCTGCGCAGAGCAGGGCCTCGTCGGCGCCGAAGCCAGGCTGGCACGCACTTGATGTTCCCCCTGCGCTGTTTCCACCCTCGGGGAAATCCTCGACAACAGCATCTTGGCCAGAATCTTGCACAATATCCGTTGCACTGCGATGGGGCGCCAATTTGCAGTTTTCGAAGCGTCTCCTGGCTTAGGCAATATTGCTAAAATAATATGCAGCTACCCCTTCGGGACGGCCCCCTCGTTCAAACATTCGTTGTGCTGCTCGAGAATGAGCTTGCAGAACGCGTTCTCATACAATCGTTGTACTGCTCGAGAATGGGCTTGTTTACTCGCAGAGGGAAATGCAAAACGCGTTCTAGTGCAATCCCCGTGGAGTCGGCGACGCTGTTGCGCGCCAGTCGTCTAGAAAGGGCGCCCTGAGCTCTGCCCGGCTCAACGGGGAGACCTCTCGGATAGCACTTCGCGCCAGGGGTCTCTCAGCCGGCGTCTTCCCTCAAGTGCACTTCGGCGAGAGCTCGCGCAAGCTCCCCGTCGCTCGGCCGCGGGGCAACAATGTGCCGTCCAAGCAGAAGGTGCCATACAACATCCAGGCGGGATGAACTTTGAAACTCAGACAGCATTTCGTGGTTTGCCGCGTTTTCCGCGCCCGAATCTCTTTCCAAAGTACCCGCTTCCAGCGCCCACGCAAGGCCTTCCCCCTGATCCTGATCCTGGTTTCTCTTCGCCTGTAAGACAAAGTCTGAATTCCAGGGGCTCTGGTGTTTGCCAGCGTTCCCCTGCTGAAAAACGGATAGCTTTTTCGATATCCGCAAAAGTGTTAACAGTATGCTGCGAGGCCCAGAAAGCCACTGACTCTGCGTGTCGCTGAATGTCTTGGCCGGACAGCTCAGACCATGTACATCGAGAGATATGATGTCTGATTGTCCGCTGTCTGGCAACATTGAACTCTACGGTAACGGACACGGCACGATGGCCCGAGCCAAGGTCCAAAGAAAAATGTGTTGCCACAGGTAACGCATATGGCACGCGAGCCGATGAAGATTTAGTCGCTACGACGGAATCGGCCAAGATAATTTAGAATCATCCAGTCCACAGAGCCGTTAATGAAAGTTTTGCCCTCGAATCAAAATCGAACAGCGCAGCCCCCCGAACTGGTTCGCGCAGCTCTGTTTGAAAATCCCCTCCGACGATGACAACTCGCGCTGTCCAGCGGCAAGCGGACAGCTGCTCGTAGATTGCGTCCACGAACATGGTGGGGTAGCCGGCATGCGAAAGGTACGCTGCGATAGCTCTGCACACTTTTCCGTGCAGTTCCACATCGACGTACACGACCCGGCCGCTGATGTCAACAGATACGTTTTTGCCAACGTGTCTGGCGTGGACGAGGACACCAGCCCCTGTGGCATCGTGGCCTTTGCCGCTTGTGTAAAGCGTATGTCCGCCAGAGATTTCACTCGAGCGGCGAAAGCGCCCGTTGTGAAGAAACTGTGAGGCCAGGATCTCAGGGAGTGGAGCGGGGAGGGGGGGTAGCGACGAGACCGAGCCGTGGCCACCTTGGGGTCACTTTCGGCGACGTCGGTGACGCCCCAGGGGCCACCCTGGGCAGCCCCAGACCTCGAACGTCGTGACTGTCTGTCGCCAAGGTGGACCCCAGGGAACCTGGACCTCTGCCCTGGTCTGTTGTTGGACTGGTGGCCCCTCGCTGTTGGGCCTCCCGGGGCGTTATTGGGACACGGAAGGGCACATCCAGACAGGGAGCTGATGCTGGGGGCGCACGTCCGACATAAACATGTAGTACAGTCGGACCTAGGCCAGAAGAACATCCCTCAAGAACATGGGACCCTCCGCCAGCCCAAACTGAAGCACATTCGAGGGTGCCCTGCCCCAGGACGCACAATAACATCCAACAAACACGAAGAAGATCAGGGTACCCTCCCCGAGCCGACCTCGATCTTATACCTCGGTCCTGCTGTACACAAGTCAGATAATAGAAGCATCGACCGCATCCTGGACTCAGCTGTGGCAGCGAGAGCGACTGAGGAGGTCCAGAAAAAAAACAAGGACGATGAATACCAGAATGCTCAACCCTCTGCCCCCCTCCCTCCTCATCCCCCAGAGAGCATCGCTTAGCCCATTCCTATCCCCACTGGCGCGGCCTTGGCCACACTGACCACCGTCCGCACCGAAGTGGGGATATGCGACTCTTCCCTCGGGTTTCGCGGTGCGCTTCCCCCCCTCGGAGAATGGGCTGGCGGGGCTGAGATACCGTGGCCCAGCAGGCATGGAGACTTGGGCGGTATTGACCCAGGATCTCCAGGCGGTGGACCTCCTCCCCCTGGTGGACCAGCAGCGCCCCCGCGCGGTCCAGCATCTGCTCCAGATCGTGGACACGCGCCCAGCTCGCCTCCAGGGCCCTGGCCACCTCGTCGCGCTCCTGCGCGGAAGCTGAGGGAAGGCTGGCACCGACAACGCCGCGGTGGCCCCTGACCTCCGACTGGGACCCCGAGAAGAGGCCACTGAGATCGCATGTGTGTTCACAAAGGCGGGGTTCGCCTGCTTCTCGAGCCACGCGGCCCCAACAAATCGATGCGACCCTCTGGGGGAAAAAGAGGCGACCCTCGTAGACGTAAAGTCGGCGCCTTGCTCGAGACACCTCCACGCTACAAACCGAGGAGGTCCCGCGCACCCCTCTCGACCAAGTTGCCCTGATTAAGCATGGCATCGGTGCCCCGACCTTTTTCTGACCCTGGAGACCTCCCAAATGGGACCTGAATCGGAGGTTGTATCACATCGTGATGCATGACCGAGACATCAGGAACGGCGGGATGGAAACAAACACGAGCTTCAAATCGTACCGCATCGGATGTGCGCCGCGATCCTCTGGCCCCGTCTGCTGTGGGCCCCGTTCGGAGATCCTGGATTATCCGTCCTCGCGAACGGTGAACATACCGTCCTAAGGAACCCTAAATAAGGAACGAGGCCCCTTTTTTCCATAAGTGAAACATCGATTTCCTGTCAAAAACATAAGGAACGCCTGAGGCGAACTGTGAAACACTTAGGGAACGCGGAGCCCCTCCCCAACGCAAAGGGTTCCTTCTTCAGGGCCCCGGCTGTATCAATATCCACGCCCCCGCGGTCTGGATTTCCGGGGCGCGACCCCGCGGACACGCTATACCGCACGCACGCTCTCTCCGCACGGGGCCCCCGTGCGCAGCGCCCCGCCTCCGCGGGAATCGCCGCCCTCTGTAGCCCGGCCCGCGAAAACGCGATCTGTGTTTTTTCGCCCACGACCCTAACCAGCCTCGAACGTATCCCTATCCCTAAGATGGGCGAGCAAAAAGCGAGGACAATCTTAGGGACAGGCCCTCAGAAACTGAAGGAATCCTTAAGATCGGCATCGAGGTGAGGTGATGTCAAACATAGGGATGAGGATATGCTTCAAACTGGTAAGACCCCCCCCCTTGAGATCCGACGTTGCAAGAGCATGCAGCATCGCGGAGGAGATCGCGACCGGGGCCCCCGACACCCATCCTTCCGGCTCACTTTTCTCGGGCCGCGTCGATCTTCGAGGGCCCAGGGGCCCGCAACGCGGAGAAAAAAACACCCGTTGTGGGGGGGGGGAAAACCAAAAAAAAAGAAGAAAAAAAAAACGCCAGGATCTCAAGACCCTCCGATCCTGCTGCTCCGGCGAGGACAAAGCCCGGGGGGACGGCCCCGGAGAGCTCGCCGAGGACGCCGGCGGCACGGAGGCGCCCGCTGCCAGCGCGGCCCCCGCGGGCCCGGCGCCCCGCAGCGCGGCCGAGCGTGGGGAGGCAGCGCCCGCCTCGGCCGCGACCGCCCCCCCCCGGGGAGTCGGAGCAGCGGCGCCCGCCTCGTGCGGAGCATGCCGGTGGGCAGGGCTGGGTCGGGGGGTGCCAGGAAGCGCCCCTGGCCACACGATGCCCCGACCTACATGTCAGCCTCGATCGCCAGAAAGAACTTCGAGCGCCAAGAGAACGCCCGAGCTGGACGACTTCGACGCGCCACGACCTGGGGGGCTAGAATTACTCGACATACGTCGCTAGTGCGTCGGGCAGACACTCGATACTTTCCTGGGCGCTCGAAGTGAGTTCTGGGACGCGGTCCTTAGACGCGAAAGGTTGTCATCTTTGGTGTCCAACCCCTTTTCTCCCGGCGGGGAATAGGACTGGTCCTACAGACTCCTCGTCGCGGCGGAAATTGTTCCCCTCTATCGCTGGGCGGGCTGGATAATGTTGGGGCGGGGGCTCTTTCTCCCAAGGGAAAACGCCCCTTGGGCTACCCTGCACTAGCCCTGCTCAGGAGGAGGAGGAGGAGGAACAGGAGGAGGAGGAAGAAAAAGAAGAGGAGGAGGAAGGGGAGGAGGAAGAAGGAGGAGGAAACGAAGGACGGAGGGGGACGAGAGGAGGAGGAGGAGGAGGAGGAGGAGGAGGAGGAAGGAGGAGAGCAATATAAGGATTTTAAAACTAAAAAACAAAGGGGCTCTCGTGAGGGCCAGACCGCGGCGCGTGAGTGCAATGAGGGGTAACCAATGCGGCTCAAAACTGAAGCGTTGAGGCCCTCGCCTAAACCAACGCAGGCTGAACACAGGGCCCGGCGATGAGGCCGCGGATGGCGCTGGGGGCGCGGCGGTCTGTGAGGTTGTGGAGGACAGCGACGACGGCGCCGGGAGGGCACCTGACATTCCATTCCAATGACCTTCGCAAACTCAGCATCAAAATGCTTTCCCTCTCATCTTTGTCGGGCGCGGTACTATTGGTAGGACAGTTCTCCAGGGGAAGAATGCCACATGGGCTACTCCGCATGCGGGAGAAGTTGCTAGCATAATCGCTGAAGGAATGTGATGCAAACCTCGATTGGGATTCCCCCAAGCGCTGGCTGCTTGAATGCAATTCAGAGTATGTGTTTTTGTGATGCCTGTTTATCATTTTCGGAAAGCATCGCGCGCGAGCTTAAGCGGCGTTCGCGGCGAACTGATAATAGTCTCCCTCTAATGATGGTCGGGTGCGATATTGTTGGTAGGTTCTTTCCCATGCAAAACAATGCCATATGGGTGATTCAACACGCGGGAGAAGTTCTGAACAGAATCGCGAAACCATTCAAATACAACTCTCTAGTGGTTTCGTCCAAGTGTTGGCTGCTGAATGCCGTTTGAATTACTTTTCATCATACAGCCATGCTTGGTGTATTCTTTTTGTTATCATAAAAGCATCGTGCGCGAGCTCAAACAACGCTCGCGGCGCCAGGGGAACCTTTCCCCTCTAATGCTCACCGGGCGCGATATGATTGGTAGGTGATGTCTCCTGGGGGGGGGGTAACGCATCATGGGTTACTCCGCACGCGGGAGAATTCCTAAGCACAGTCGGAAAATCAGTGGCATGAAACTCTCTAAGATGTTACCCCAAGCGCTGGCTGCTTGAACGCAATGGAGACCATGCTTCTCACACTATACTTAAACAGCTGTCGCGCATACCATTGCGCACAAGCTTGAGAGACGCTCGCAGCGGGTGAGGATAGTTTCCCTTTACTGTCCTAGGGAATAAATGCCACGCGGGCTGCCCTGCACGCGGGAGAATGTTCGCAAGTCTTCGAGGACCAAGTCACTGAGCCAATATTTTCCATGAGAACGCTCCTGAGGCAGAATGGCTAGTAGTCGTCGTGTCGTCGTAGTCGTAGTCGCAATCGTAATCGTACCTGTTGGCGTCGTTGTTGCGCGGAGGGTGCCGCGGGAAAAATATTAGTTCCCGCTACTGGTGGAACACCACTCCGTGAATAATGCCGCCGAAACGAATAATTACAGCTTATTGGGAGGGGTCCTAAAGACCCTTCCTGGCGACGTACGATTCGAGTAGGAGATCGATAACAACATCGATGTACCCCCATTTGCTTTTCTCGTCGAATCTACCATTATTCGTTTTGGTGTAGACTCGACGAGGAAATCATTTTGGGGTAGATCCCCTACTCGACAGATGGTTACAACACAGCCCTGGCCCAGGGTGCCCCCCGGCTTTCTGGGCCCCTGGGGGGGGGCGTGCCCTATAGGCCGCAGGGGCGTCCTAGGATATCCTGGGAGGGCGAAGGAGGAGGAGGAGGAGGAGGAGGAGGAGGAGGAGGAGGAGGAGGCGGAGGAGAGGGGGAGAGAAAGAGGAGGAGCGAGCGAGCAGCCGAGAGGCGGTTGGGTCGGCCCGCGGCGGCGGGCGGCGGGCCCACTAGCCCCCCCAACCCCCACCCCGGCACTTACACCACGGATCCCACAAGGCCAGGAACCGCGCTGCAAGCGCCGAGGCGGGGGGGGGAGCCAGTCGGACCTAGCAAGGAGGCCGAGCGGCCAGGGGGCACGGGGCCTGCGGCAGGCCCGTGCTCACGGGCACGACGCCTGCCAAGACGCGGAACTCCACGCACAGCACGCCCAGCGACAGCTGGGCGGGGCCGACCCCCAGGTGGCCCAGCGAGCACAGGTGGACACTGAAGGCGAGGGCCGCGCCGCCCCTCACGTGGTCCAGCTCGAACATGTTCGAGCCGCGCACTGCAAAACTGGCTGGATGCAGGCCAGCACATAAGGTGCCCAAGGGCCAGCCACGCTGCAATCCCAAGGGGCCTGGCCGGCCTGCACCTGCCTGGCGACAGATGAACCTGCCCAAGGCAGGATTTGAAAGCCGAACCTGATGCGGCCCTGCTGTCAACCAAAAAGTCCGTCATCACTGCCGTCGTCAGAGCCTGCATCGGGTCCACGTTGACCCAGCTCGTGAATTTCGTCATATGTAAGCCCAGATCCTCGTAAGATTCTGGGCACGTCGAGGCATCTGGACTCGCAGGCTGCAGCAGGTGGCGCAGCCGCTGGTCTCTCCACAACCGTGTCAACCAAAGGGTCTGTCCAATGTTTGACCTTACACGTGGTCTGCCTTGTCTCCTCCGTTGGCCGAAACGGGCCGTCCAGCTTCACTTGCTTCTTTGCACTTTGCGGGTGTCTGAGATTCTCGAAGTGTCGCGCGTTTTCAACTCCACGTCCTGACACCGACCGCCCAGGGCACACCACGTCAAAACCCTTGTGCGACTCCCAATTGAAGTACTTGCAGCACGTCGTACAAAACACTAAACTGCAATCCAGACCCACAGCTTTGTACTCAAATAAGGCATGCTTGCCCACAAACCAGGGCTCAGTTGACGTTTCTTCCACACGCAACGCTCGCTCGATCCTTTCTTCGTCATCATCTGCCACTGGAAAACAGTATTCCAGAAATCGTTCTTCCTGAAAGTAGAACCATACTTCGAATATCGCCAGATATTCCAGCAAAAGACTATGAAATCTGCGGCAACAGTTCACGAACCTTACCTGTGGCTCTGGGGGTAGGAGCTGCTTTGCTCCGTGCTTGGCCCAGGAGTCCGCCTCCCCGCTGCCGTCCATTTGGAAGTGCGATATGCATCCTTCACGAACGTCTCTCATAGTTGCGTGAGCTTTGACGTGCATGAAACATTGGTCACGAAAATCTTCCCTCAGCCTAGTCAATTTCCAAATATGGGCCCGTGCGCACTTAGATCCCGCGGCCCTCGATAGGTTGAAACAGCACGATAACGAGCATTGCAATCTGAGAGAAGCGCCCACGTTCCTAGCACCAACCGGCTGGCTTGATAAATTGCGTAAGCTTCTCCATCTTTCGCCACCTGTAGCGGCCCGATCTGCTTTGGCACTGCGCCATAAAAACGTCCGACTCGACGGCGACCACTGTCAAAAGCAATCACCGCCCAGCCTGCAACTCTGAGTTCGGGAATGTTGGCGTGGAAACCGCTGCCGTCGACGAAAACGAACCCGTCGGCGACTGCCACCACTCCAGCGATGTCGACGCCGATGAAGTCGCAAGCTGAGGAACGCGGCTGATTGGCAAAAGCCTGGCCTGGATTCTGCAGGATTCCTCTCGCAAGCATCTCTTGCACCACTGGTCTAGCTCTGCTGATTCCAGATGCCGCTTTACGTATGATATCAGGAATCAAAAACTGTCTTTGCCCTGCGTAGGCGTCGCAGCAGAAAAACCGGCGGAATAAAGTTCCTGGCGCTATGCCACAACGCGTGCGAAGGTGACTCTGGTCTGGGAAAGCTCGAGCAGCTCTGGCTTGACACCTATGTCCTCCTGAGCAGAGGCCACGAAGAGATCGCCCCTCATGTGGGGAGAGCTTCTTTGACTGCATTGCCGCCTGTAGCGGCCCCCAAGAGATTTCTCCCAGCCTTGGATCTTCACCTGCACCGCGTAGTCCTCTAAGAACGTCTCGACTGATATGTCTCTGCACTCCCTTCTTGACCACGTCTGCGACGAGCTCTGCCGAAAAATAAGAAGTGCCCCAGACGTTTCCTTCATGGTCTCGCACTGTAGTTGCGCCCTCCAGCGTCCAGCCGATTCTGTGAAGCGATAATGCTAGAGCTGAGATAGGGTTCTTGACTTTGTTCCAGGCGTGGCGCTCTTTCAACCAGGGCCGCGCGTCTGAGATGAAGCCATTTACCACGTTTCTGGAGACCATGACAGCCGCGAGGACGGTGACAAACGTCTGCATGGCATCCGCGGTCGCGATAACGAGCGGGTCTGATCTCCACCCACTCTCTGGGAATTGCAACGCAAAGCCTACATGGGCCCCTGGTTTGAACCTTCCCGCGGCGCTGAGGAAGGACATCCGAAGCTGCTGGATACGCCCTTTGGGGGCCCCTGCTATGCTGCAACCCCAGAGGCTCTTGGATAGAACGCCAGCACGATGGACCGCCGATCTTGTTACCCCAATGCCCTGTAAGGCCTGCACGCGGTCCTCCATTCTTCATGGCCTCCTGGATCCTTTCAACTGGGTCCCAATTCTGCGAAAGCGACCGTCCACAGCATCACCTCCCAAGTCCCTGTGGTACTGATCATGCTTCGAAAAAGGGGTGCCCACTGGCCAGAGGTCCGAGAGGCCCCCACAAACATCGACAAACAACTCCGTGTCCCTGCAGAGAATCCCCATCTTGTCCCAAGAGATCGGGAGGCCCTTCTTCTGGAGGCCCACGAGGAGGTTGGTCAGGGCATATTGAATTTCCCTGATGACTGCATGTCTGCCTCCGATGGCGTGGAGGCTTATGTCGTCGATGAGGTTCTTGATCCGCACCGTGGGGCATATGACTCCCATGTGCGGCAGTGTCGTGATAGTCATCAATTTAGCCAGGCCTGTTGCACAAGAACATCCTGCAATTACTGTTCCATTAGCTCGAAGTTCAATTGACGTCGATCTCTGGCATGTGGCCCTTCTAGGGCCTCTGCACATGCAGCACAGTGGTTTTAACAACCTGATGGGAAAATCAGTCTCTAGCAGCGCATAATAATTCTGAATGACTAATCATTTCATAGAATTTCCTGAGGTCTACAAACGCACTCACGCTGACAAAATTATATACAGGGGCAACACTCGCCAACACGTTGCGGACCCAGGCCGATTTGTCACACGACGTTTCGGACGAGGAGCCCCAAAAGAAGCTGTCCCCGAGGGCGCCCTCCCATTTGGCCACCTCCGAGTGCCTCAGACGTGACCAGATGCAACAGAAAAGAGGGGGGAGTCCTATGGGGCGCACACCTCCTCGGGGCTTCGCAAGGAACACAATGATAGCTAGCATCACGTCAGCGTCCTCTGGGTTGTCTTCCCAGAGGCGCAGAAGTGCAGAGAGGGACTCTAGCAGCTCGACAGACAGACGCTCAATCCCGCGCGGGTGGAAACAATCCCACCCCAGCGCTGTCTTCACCCTGAACGTCTGCAGCACCGCCTTGACCCTGTGAAGCTCCATCCTTGGGGGCAACGGCGCATCCTCTACCGACCAGGTCAGCGGGTGAGCTTCACTCTCGCGCTCGGGAACAAGCCACAAGCTCACCCATTCACCCAGCATGGCCTGGAGGGCCGCATGCCCTACAACAGGGAGCCCACTGGAGTCCTGATCAGATGGATCGGCGCCCCTGGGGCCCTTGGAAAACCGGCGCGCCAAACCAGCGCCATTCTGAAAGGCAAGCTCCGAAAAAAATATCCCCAGCTGGCTCCGGCGGCGGCTGCATCTGCAGCCGTGTGCGCAAGCACTTGATCTTGAACAAATTTGCAAGCCTCTCCCTTCTGCTCATCACTCGCGAGCTGTTGCAAAAAGGATTCACAGTCGCTGATCTTGAAACCGACTCCTCCGACACCCGCCACGCCACCCGTGTCCCACGCGTCCCCCAACTCTCTAAGACGACGCTCGGCACTGGCCTTCGTCTCCTGTTGGGCAGAGACGGTGGTGTCTGAAGCGCGGAGCCATTGCATGGTAAACGCCTGATGATGAGCCACTTCTGAATTAGGGGGGACGCCTTTCTGCGACGGCTCTTTCCCCATTCACACGCAAGCGGGACTTTTTCCAGGCGACGCCCGAGCCCCCTTCCACAGTGACGCGGCCAATCCGAGACTGGGATGGCCAAAAACATGCATAAATAGAGCTCAGCAGACTGAAACCAGCGTCGCGCCAGACTGTCCACCGACCCCTCCTCTTTCCGGTCAAAGCCCGACCAGCTCGAGACGTCGCCTGGGACAAAGGGTTGCCCCGACTAAGGCATTGGAAAAAGGTCTGGTTTGACCCGTCGGCAAATGAAGTTCTGGCCCCCGAGCCCCCCCCAGGACAAGTTGGACCGCCCTGCGTGGCCCAACGGGGGCGTCGCCCAGAACCGAAATGGATTTGACAAAAGAAAGCAGCACATCACTGATCACGAAAAAATCAGAGTGTGAGTCATGAAACGTTGGCTTCCCACTGTGCACAACTTCTGCATGCACCTGACTCAGAAAGCCTGCCCGCAGAAACGAGTCTCTGCCGACATATTCTGCCTCAAAATTCCGATCTCCTGCGATGATGAACGGCAGGCAGGCTGCGCGCAACGCCTCGAGCAACGACGCAATCAAATCAATGTTGCCTGCCACACCTACACTGCAAATGGCGTGGATGGAGACCAGCAGCACCTGCATCCCCCCCAGCATGACGCGCTGGAAGAAGAGCCTGGTTTTGTCGAACCCGTTGATCGGGAGGTGCTCTACGCTGGCGATGTGACCTGATGCGAGGATGCCTACCCCACTGGATGTCTCCGTGATCTGCTTCCCCGTCACGGCGCACCCGCTGGCCAGGAGCTTGTAGCCGCGCTCTCGCGCCCAGCTTTGTGCCGACTTCAGCTGGTCGCCGTTGCGCAGCCTGTGCTCCTGGCCGAAAATGATGTCGGGCTGATCTGCTTTGTCCAGCACCGTCCACTCCAAAAAACCTTGCATCGTGCTCCAGACATTGCTGTTGTACGTGACCAAAGACAGCGTGGTCGGTACAGGTACGGAACTTGACGGATGCGAATCCGCATCCCACTTGAGCTGCTGCACCAAGTCGGCGTTGGACTTGTCTCCCCAACTGCTGACTGTAGTATTCTACTAATGATTTGACGATTGGGTCTTCTTCTCCTTTGAACTCTGACAGCCTGAGCCCCGAGTAGTCAGGAAAGTCCAACCCACCATATTTGATGACGAACTTGTTACGGTACTTTGCCTTGCTTATCTTGCCCCATCGGTCTGCCACCATCGCGGCAGGGGGGCAATCAATAGGGATGAAAGCCTCCTGCTGCCAAGGACCGTGCACGTGCTATGACAATGCTTTCCTCAGCGGACGGCTCCACGTAATATTTGACCTGCTCTCGCAGAGCTTCGATGTCTTCTCTGTCAGGCTCCCAGGGGGCATGTCCTCGACGCGAAATCCGCGCTGGCTCTGCGAGTAGTCCGACCCCTCCCCCAGCCCTGACACTGCCACCAGAGCTGGGGCAGCCTTCTTCGGGTCACTGATACCTTCCATACTTGAGAAGACATCCTCAAGCTTGACCTCGTCGACGACCACCTCGACTGAGTCCGTGTCCTTCTGGGCGAGGTCTGACAGCTCCATCTCCAGCTTCTCGTAAGCCTGCATCTTCTCGGTAATGAGGGCGTCGGCATCTGCCAATGCCTTCTGGGCTGATTCCAGAGCTGCTTGGGCCACTGCACGATCTGCAATGGCCTTCTCCTTCTGCTTACGGGCTTGCTCCACTCTCCTCGAAAGTACGCTAAGCTTCGCGCCCAGGGGCTTGTTCTCGTGAAGCTTGGCCCTGGCAGCTTCCAACTGAGACTGGGCTGAGGCCAAGGCGGCCTTTGCCCACTCCCCTTTCGCCGTCTCCAGCCACTTGGTATGCTTGGCCAGCGCATCAATCTCCTCACGAAGCTCGGCTGGCTCGTTGGTGGTGTATGACTGCTGCGGCCCTGCACCCCCATCTCCTTTGAGGGTGGCGTTCTCCTTCTCAAGCTCCTCGAGGCGGCGCACCAGCTTGCTGAAAGCGCCTTTTGTCCTTGCCTCCAACGCTGAAGGAAGGCGATTTGCTTGGGCGCACACACTTGAAGCTGGCGGACTTATGGACATGGCACATGAAACAGCGATCGTTGCTGCCCCAGTTGACCAGAAGACCAGACTTCTTGTGTACACAGAACTTGCACATCCAGTCCAGCTTCGGGGAGTGCCACGGCGCCGACGCCACGGATGCGGACAATTGGAGGCTCTCGAACCCCTTGCCTCAGAAGCGCACTCCTCAGACTGGAGCCACTGATCGCGCTCTGAGGAGCAAGGGACCTCCGTGAAGGGTGAAAGCAGCCGCGGACTAGCGGTATCCGTTTTGGCCCCAAGGGAACCAGGCATCTTGAGCCAAAATGGCTGCGGAGAGAAAGAGGAGGAGGAGGAGGAGGAGGAGGAGGAGGAGGAGGAGGAGGAGGAGGAGAAGGAGAAGGAGGAGGAAGAGGAGGAGGAGGAGGAGGAGGTCGGGTGAGGAGGAATCGAGAATAAGTGAGATCTGGCGGCTCTGGAGGACGTCTCCGTCGCCGCGGCCTTTCCAGAGCATTCCAGAACGCTGTGGGAGCGTTCAAGAACGCCGTGGAACGAATTGATCCTCGTCCTAGCCCCGTCCGCCCTGGGGAGATCTCTGGGAGCCGCACGGATGGGGCCAGAGCAGAAGGGGTCGAAGAATCGCGCCGCATCGCCGACGCAGCGCCGATCCCTCGCCGATGCACGTGTGCATGGGCGCCGTCGGCGATGCGAGTGCGTGGAGGCGGTCGGGCTCCACGCACTTGCGCCACGTCGCCGAGGCATCGGCGGGGCGGCGCGGCCCTGCGAGCCCATGTACGAAGGGGCCCTGGGACAAACAAACAAATACACACAAATAAAAAGATTCCCCATATGTTCCCATATTTGGGGGGCTTTCGTCTTCCCCCCCACTTCCCATATTTTCCCAGATTTTCTGGGAATCGACGATTCATTGTGTCTGTGTGTTTCTTTCCCTCCTGAATGTACTCCAGGCCCCCTCGAGCCAGGGACACCGTTGGCAGCACCCGAGCTGGGGCCTCGGTGGACCTCCCCGAGGCGGTCCGCGAGGAGGCAGAGCGCCATCCTTTGAGCAGGGACCGACCGTCCCGGCGTTCCTATAGTCATACCACTAAATGTTCTTAGAACCCCAAAATGTTCTAAGAACAAAAACAATGTTCTTAGAACATAAACCCGATGTGATAAAACAAGACAGACTCCGCCCGAAATGTTCTAAGAACACTTCGTGGAAACCACAAAAGGTTCTTAGAGCATTGTTTGGTAGGGCCATAGGCGAGCCAGGACGCTTCGCCGCTGCTTGAATCCTGAAGTGCCCCAGCGCCTCGTCGGCCGAGAGCGGGGGCCCCGCGCAGGCCATCCTCAGCACGACGGCCGGGCGACGCCAGCCGACCGCCTCGCCGATCATGGCTGGGCCGGCCATCCTGGCTGCGGGATCTGCCATCGGAGGCGAGCCCGGGGGGCAGTGCGAAACGGAGGGCCTTCTCGGAAGGCTCGGAGGCCCCTCTTCGCCTTCCGAGAAGCTTTCCGCGCCTCCCCCGAGGACGCAGAACAGCTCTCGGAGGGCGCGAGGGCTTCTGAGAAGTCCCACCGCCTTCTGAGGAGGCCTCCTCCTCCCCACCTTCCCCCCTTGCGCCCGCCGCCGATACGAGCCTCAACCGGCCAGACCCAGAGATCCGATGTCGTGATTTCTTCAACACGCGGTCCCCGGACGTCTCGACCCCTTCCCCTGGACCGCTTTTTCTTCCAGAGCCGTTTTCTCACGGTCCCGAGGCCTGGCGAGGGCCCCCAGGGGCCAAAATCAGCGAAAAGCCTCCCTCTTGAGTTTTTCCACACGTTGGATCTCTGGCTTGGACGCCCGAAATGGGTACGGAAGGAATGGGTACAATGCCCAACAACAAATGTTGTCCCGACCCAACAGCGCCCGCTGCTGGGCAGGCGGCCTTCTGTCTCGAATGGACACTGGCCGCGGCGGCGTGGACAGCGAGTCCTGCTCAAAACGAACCAGATCCGGTGCTGGGCATCGTACCCACTCTTTCCGTACCCATTTCCGGCGTCCAGATCTGGGGATGCACCGCTCCCGGGCCCAGGAGCCGGGCCCGGCGCCAGGGTCGGCGGCGGGGCGGCCCTGGCCGGCGCCCCCCGATGATGGGTTCCGAGGGGAGGAAGTGCGCGGAGATGCGCACCACCGCCTGGGCAAAGGCGCCCCGGTCCACCACGCGGGCCCCGTCGGGGCACGCGCACCTCTCGGGCCGGGCGAAAAGGGGGGATAGCGAAGGGGGGGGGTGAGAATCAGCTCACGCAGCTGATTTTCCCGGCGCCTCCCGGCGCCGGGAGGCGCCCGTGTATCGAGGCACGGGCCCCGCGGCGGGGCCGAAACCAGCTGCATGCAGCAGATTTCGTAACCCCTCCATTCCCTATCCCCCCCTTTCGTTCGGCACGCGCACCTCGCCGCGCGGAGCACGGGCTGGAAGGCGGCCAGGAGGGACTCCTCCGGGGAGCGAGGGACGGTAACAGGGATGAGGATGTTGACAGTGGCAATGGCAACCACAATGGCAACGA